CCCGCCGCGCGGCCGCGGCCGAGCGGCGACCAGGCTTTCCACTAAATCACGAAACCAAGTCAACCCGGTAACAGAGGGAAGGATTATGCAACCCGCCCGGATCTCCTTGCAGGGCATAAACAATGGGCAAGAAATTCCTTAACGCGGAATGCTACCGGCGACAGAGGAATGTGCCCTCCCATGCACCGCTCCGGCGAAAGTCACGGGCAGAGGGACACGGAGGTACTCGGTGTCCCAGCTAGTGAGCCCGGCTGCCCAAAGCCTCTGCGGTCAAGGGTCTGGGGCAGAGCTGTGCAGAACCACTGCCGTGTGATATAACACTGCTTTAAACACATTTACAAACCCAGCAAAGCAAAACCTACCAAAGTAGTATATGCTGCTTGTAATGCTTGCTAGAAAAACAAATATCCACACAGCTTTCTGTTTTGAAGGTCCCTAAGACTCTAGCATTTCTTATCAATCTGTAAACATGCTTTCACTCGAGGGAAATATTTGCAGAAGGCTGCAGGCTGAGCCCCCGACATCCCTGGAAAGCAGCAGTTTCCCTGGAGCAGCCCCATGCATGACAGGTACTGAAGCAGAGGGCCCTGTGCCTTCCTGCAGGGATGGTCCAAGCTTAGGGACCTGGAGAGCCCCAGGAACCCGCAGGGGAAGCTGCTATGCAGCTACCTGCACAGCAGACCCGAAGGAACGGGCGGTCACAGGGTAACGAGCACAAGCAGCACCAACACCCGCAGAAGCGGCACGCTCCAACGGGCCCCACGCGTCACCACAAACAGGAGAAATGCACAAACTGGTGGGTCGCATCAGCCCGGGAACAGAGAGCGATCGCATTGTGCAGATGAACAAGACAGGCGAGTCGGAGAGTAAGAAAGAGGGATTCGGCCTCCACCCTACGTGCAGCCCAAACAGGCCACAGCACACGGGCATCAGTACCCGACTGCACACAAGAGAATTAGCTCGGATTTAATTGCTGCAGCATCTTCAGTCAGCTAAAAGCGTTCTGATAAATAACTTCCCTGACAGTGCATGAGGATGTCGGCTCTGACATGAGTCAAGACCTTCAGAAATGCTGCAGCTTAGAAACAGGCTGGAGAATACGGGAAATGAACAGCTAGTCAGGGCCCTCACTAGAGGGCAAGATAAAGGAGGGTTCAGACGGGTCCTCTCAAGTTCCTGAAGCAGCAGCAGCTCCATCACACCTTGCAAGTCACAGAGTCACAGAATGGTTGACGTTGGAAGGGACCTCTAGAGATTGTCTAGTCCAACCCCCCTGCTCCAAGCAGGGATACCTAGAGCACAGGGTAGCATCCCCAAGGCTGGCAATATTGAAGGATTTTTGGCTGGCTTCCCCTCCTGCCCCACATTTTCAGACAAGAGTCCCAGGGCTCCAGCTGCCCCAGCTTCAGTTTAGGCCTGGAATTCACAGCAGCACCCCAATAAAACTTACCCAAACCTGCGCACATCCCCACCAAAAGTTACAGTTCTGGCAAATCAGCACTTACATGATACTGCCCTTGGGCAGTTATTCTTGACCACCCCAAATCATTATCATCAATCACCAAAGTCAGAAGTCTCAAAATAGCAGCCATTTTCAACTGTAACAGAATAATGAACTTCAGAATGAATTTTAAATAGTACCACAAAAATAAGTGGAAAAAGTGACAAGCTGTCAACCTTGCGATTAGAGTTATCATGAGCAATGTGAACAGGAACAGTGTTTGGTGATTAATGTGCTCAAATATAGAAACTATCATACTATTCCTTTTACCAAGTTATTTCTTGGAATATAACTGTACTTTAATAAGGCTAGCGGCTGTCTCACTGCAAAGCATATGCTGCAATCCTCATCTCATTGTGCACTGCAGCCAGGATTCCTCTAAAAATTGAGCTCAGTAATTAAAAGCATGGAGAAGCACAGTACATCAGGTCTCTCTCCCAGTGGCAACAAGTCACCTACATTTGAGAATAAAAAGGTTTCCTGTGCACTTCTGTGCTAGCTCCTCTGCCATCCAGGTGTTCCCAATGAGCACACAATGATATGACAGCAGGCCACTTAAATTTAGGAAAGATTCAAATCAGCAGAGTCACAGAGAAAGAAGGTGAGGAAAACACAAACAAAAAACCCATGAAGGACCCTATAAAATGAGAAAAAATGGGAGCACTTGGCTTGGTTATGCTGATAAAGCGGAGTATGGGAGGCAGCACTGGTGCCCTCTAGGAGCACGAGGGGAAGAACACCAAGGAGAGGGAAGAGCTACCTAGTCCAGGAGCAGCAGGACACAGGAATACTTGTTCACACAGACCAAATACTTCCCTGCTTACATGTAATGTAACCATCAAAAAAGCAGGTTCTGAAGAGACTAACAGGAGTAACGGGACAAAATTAACTAGATGCTTTTAACAGAGCTCGATCAATCCATATCCTTGAGCATCTGAAGTCGGAATTAGCATCATACAATTACATGTCTCAAGTCATAACAAAAATAAAGCCTGAAGTGCTAACCACAGAATTCAAATGCAGTTTGTTTTTGCATGTTATTACTCCTAAAGATCTGAGGGAAGGGTAGGGAGATGGAGAGGGGGATTATGTCCCCACTCCCTTCCAAGCAGATGCACGAGGATACAGCAAAGCACTTCAGACTCTCCAAGCACGATGCAGTTTTGCGCCAGCCACACGGATTCCCAGCGGCTGCTCACGGCAGAACCCCGGCTCCTTGGGGGGCCTTTAAACACAGGATCCATGCAGAGTACCAGGGACAGGAAGGTACCCAGGGTCCTCAACACCTAAGACAGGAGGGGAAGAAGGGGGAAAAAAAAGAGAAAAAGGAAGAAGCCTTCTAAAGTGGAAGAAAACAGTGTGAGCATTAGGACAGGGAAGGAAGAGGCAAAAGTGGAGATGAAAAAGCAGCAAGAAAGACTGACATTAAATAGGGAAAAAATAGAAATGGTAGAATACAAAAATATAAACACACTTATGGAATAAAAAAAAAAATCAATGAGCATGAAGTATAGGGCAATTAAAAGAGGTCTCCATGAGATCAAGGAATTGCTGTTTTACTTAGATTATTTATGTACAAATAATTAAGCTTGCATATATAGCCTGCAATTTAATTAAAAAATAAATCCCTCAGTTATCAAGATGAGGGTGGGGTGGGAATATTAAACAAATGTGCCAACACATTTCCTTTCTTGGGGCACAGTGGTGCTGTGTGCTGAGACCATCTCAGGCAACTGTTTCTGAGCTCCACACAAGCTCTGTGACACGCTGAGAGGCTGCTCCAGGGACACAAGGACACAGGGCCCATCTTCCTCCACTCAATGGGCACCTGGGTGAAAAACAAGTCCAAGTAACACACCTGGCCAGTTGCTTTGGTTTGGGTTTCTTGCAGGCTGCCTAGATGAAGAGGGTCCTGCACATCAGGTTGCCTAATACCTCTATCGCAGTAGTACCATTCTGGCTAATCCGAACAGCAACCACGCAAAGGTGGCTGGTTTCCTGCCTGCTCTCTCTTCAGAGGGCTGAAGGAAGGGAGCAGAGGATCACAAGGACCATGATGCAGGTTTTCACCAAAGCATCACAGCATCACCCAGATGGGGCCTTGATGCCAGAAACTCTTTTCTATCTACTCAAAAAACACACAGGCCACCCAATACCTACAGTGCCTAGCAACAAAGCCTGTGACATTTTGGAATAGACATATTTTTTTCTTTCTTTTCCACACTAACTATGCTAAATATCGCCTTGTGAATGGCTTGTGCTGAACAGCCTTGCTTCTCAGTACTGTAATTCTGCAGGCACTGGCAGCAGCAGCTCCCCAGCTCTCCCTCAAGGCATATTCCCAAGGCAAGCGGGTATTTCAGAGAGCATACAGTCATTTTCACACGCTCCTCCGCGTTACACCAGCCATTAAAGCCTGCTGGAATTGGTTTAATGATGAATTCAGAGCTGTCCCTTGCACCAGCATCACGGAAGCACTGTGTTGTTGATACTCAAAGGTGGGGTAAGGGGAAGGATCTTGTCTAACGAGTTGGGCGACTCGCTGCCGTTCGCAGAGCCACATTTCGATCCAACACAGCAGCATGGGGTCTGTTTTCCACACAAGTGCTGCTAGCGGGTTCTGTCACGAACTGCAATCAGAAGAGGGGCAGGTGGAGCAGCTAAACTGCATCTCCCCCTGCACACATGCGCTTTTGGGCCCCAGAGCAGAATAACTGGGGGCATAATCCAGCTTAGAGCAGCCTCAGGCCTGCTCGGGAAGTGATCCCACCTGTAACAGCTCACAAGGGCTCCATACTGGCCAACGACCACCAGGGTGCCTGCTGCTTTGCCCTGCGCATCCCCTTCGTCAGCTCTCACATCGACAGCAGTGAGGAGCCACCGAGACCTCGCTGGGTGACAGAGCTGTCCCAGCAGCTGGTGGCAGGAGCCTGTGAGGACAAGGTACAGGCTGCAAAGCCCTCCCCAGTGTCAGCTCTCAGCTCCAGGCAGGGCCCACCATCATGTTTAAGGGCCAGCAGA